TTCGGACTGTTGCTATATTCTTCACAAAATGCCTTATAATACTCTTCCCAGGACTTATTTTCCAACAACTTTCTAAAGTCTTTCCTAAACTGCTGACACATATTTGTTGCATTAATGTAACCATCCTTGTCTCTACGTAAGACTTCAATACCGTTATAAGTGCCTTTTGTGAATGTTTCGCCATTATATTTGTTAGTGAATGTTTTTGCTTCGACTGACATTTCTGTTCTTACATACAAAATAAAAAAAATAAATAAAAATAAAACTAACTTTATTTTTTCTATCTTAAGGAAATTCATGAAAATTCAAGACCTTTGGGTCTCGCCGCTTAGCGGCTGAGGGTAGAAATGAGGTTAGATCTAACCATCTACCCTAAACATTATTTTTTGGTCATGGGCTATGCCCCGCCGCTTTGCGTCTTTATGTTAAAATAAATGGTACCATTAATGATATCATGACTGTTCTCGTTCATGTCTGATTTACATCTAATGAAAAAGTTTAGAAGAATTTTCTTATTCTTTCTGGCATATTTTTATCTTTCCAGTACTCCCGCTCTAATGGTCCCAGATGAGTTGGTTTAGATTCTCTCAAGTTCTTAGATGGTATAACATCTTCAACGCCTCCTTCATATCTTACTTTATAAGTGTCATCGTTTATGTTGTAGCCAAGTATTTCAATAACCACTCCTCGCTTTGCTTCGTCAATGGTTTCAGCAAGTTTGCCATTACTACTTTCGACTAATTTATGTCGAGGGTAAAATGCAATGGAGTCGTCAGCAGCTTTTATAAGATATCCATTACCTTGCGTAGAGTCTACGATATAATAATTTCGACTTAACCTTAAACGTTTCTTTGTCAACGGTTTGTCGTCAAGAACTACACGAACTTTTGTACCAGGAATGAGGGTAAATTGTGTTGAATTTCTGATATTTTGTGTTTGACTTCGTTTCTTTTGTATATACTTTTCTTCTTGTTGTTGTGTCATTGAATTTGGTGTATGTCCTGTTGTAGAATGTGTTGAGGAATTATATACTTCGAGAAAATGTTTCATTGTTTCTTCGGTAAAGTCTCGCTCTTGGTTTAAATCTCTGAGCGTTCTTATGAAGCGGTTTATGATGCCGAGTATGTTATGGTTATGGTCTTCAGTAGTGTAGTGAGTTATGTTATGCTTAATGAGAAATTCTGTGATTTCATTGCTGAGGTATGCACCGTCTTGGTCTGATGTTAAAGTACTTGGGCTATGTTCTGCTACAAACTTTTGTAAAACTCTTAACACTTCACGAGTTCCTTTATTCCTCATTGGATATGCATATGCTTTACGAGTGTTAACATTAATGAAGATGAGGAATGGTTTATGTCCTCCTTTTCTGCTTTGAATGAGAGTGTCAAATTGGTATGTGTCAGGAGTGTTGGAGTAAATTGGTAAAAAGTAGTCGTAAGGGTTTATTTTTGTTTGATGTACAACATTTTTGTCAAAGAACTTTTTAACTTCAGCTCTGTTAGTAAATCCCCAACTTTTTGCTGCTTCATTGAACTTCTTAAATGACCTCCACGGTGATGATTCGAATACTTCTTTCAAGCTCATTTATGTAAAGTTAAAGATTTTATTCAAGACGGTACCATGCGAATACAGTCATAAATGGTGGCATATAATCTTCACCCGAGCCTGTTGGATTTGTTGTGAAAGTATGGACATGATTTCCTCCTGGTTCAGTTGGTCGAAAAGTCTTTTTTGCTGAATTGTTATAAGATGGAGATAAAACATCATTGCCAGCTTTATAGTCTGAGTTGTATAATGGGTGGTCTCTTAATGAGTGGCTATGGCCGCCAGAAAAGTTTGTCGTTCCTGTATGAGTGTGCGCAGGTAAGTTTGCTTCTTTAATTTTCTTCGAGCCTCCTGTTTGCTTTGAAGAGTTAGCACGGTATAAGAATTTGTCTACAATCTGCTGCCACGTACCAAAACCCAGAACTGTTGCGGGATTTGTTGAATTCATTGATGTATATAAAGAACCAACAGGATATATAGCTTGCAATATTTCAGTCTTTAATGTTTGAAGCTCTGTTTTGTCAGCTTTCTTATCATATAAATCTTGAGCAGTGAATTTAACATTATTTTCATCATCCATGACATAAACATTTTTACAGCTAATGTCTTTCTTCGTTGTTATGTTTTCATTCGATGTTAAACCTTGTGGAAAGTTAGGAGGTTTATAATATAATGCATCCCCACCAGTTCCGCCAACCGTTCCTTCAATACTTTCTATAGCAACAGTTGAGAAGGAGTTATGTGTATGTTCTTTATCTGCTTTTTATCTAACATTGCTGGTAGTTCATATGTTTCAAAGTTTCTGACATGACCTTCAATGTTCATACATTTGTTATTTAAGGAGTTAAGGGTATCTTTTACGCTTGTACTTGGATTCTCTAAAGGTGCACTTGAACCAAGGGTATAGTTCAATATTATGTCGTCTGCTCTAACAGTAGTGAAGGATTCATGTGTATGGTTCTTGTCAGCTTTACTATTTAATGTAGCTTGAAGTTCATTTATATCGGAGATATTGTGTTTATGAGATTTCAAAACTTTGTTCGTTGCGTCAAGTTCTTCATCTTTGTCAGCTTTACTTTTAATAGCATCTTCAAAAGTTATTTTTGCCTTAACTCTCAAAGTAAATCTTGGTTCAACTAATACACCGTTAACAAAAAGTAGAGCATAAATTTCATCGTTATAACCAAATGCTTCTGGTGCTTTACCTGTGTCATACTGTACAGTACAGCTTATGTCATAACCTTTAGCACGAATGTATTTATATCTTCTTTCATTAACATTTTTGTCTTCACTTCTTCATCCTGTGTTAAATATCCATGGTAGTCCGTTATAATCTGTTCGTCTGAACTTATATAATGAACATGGTTTTTATCTGCTTTTTGTGAAAGAAGTTCAACAACTTTTGCTTCACTTATGTTACCAGTGTCACTTTCATTTATTTTTGTCAGCATTGCGTTCAAAACTTCATAAAGACTAACTACTTCTTTTGGTTCTTGAAACAATGAGTCAAAAGTCTTTCTTAACATTACATCTTCAACTGTTATGACTGAGTCAATACCTTTCTCTTTTATTGTCTTAGCTAACTGACCTAAAACAACGAACATATAGTCTAAAATATTATCTTCAGTGTTAAACACTATACAGTTTTCACGAATTGTTGTGTTTGTTGCTGTTAAAACTTCTTTAAACTCAGGATATATATTCAGTAGATTTTCAACAATTGTTTGAACCACTTGTCCTCCTTCATCTAAATCTCTTGCTGCCATTAAAGGATGTAAATTAATTGGTTCAATAATTCCGAGACGAGGGTTGTAAGCAAGTCCGTCGAACATATTTTTACGTTTGAGTGCCCAGTTAGTTAGTTTCTTTGTATTATATGTTACTTTACCCCATAAATTTTTGAGACCGTCAAAGAAACTTCCTGTATTTCCATGTAATTTAGCAAACTCAACATAAAACTTCATGCTATCTATGCCACCAAGAAAAGCCCAGAGTGCATCTATCTCACTTTGCATGGTTATAAGAGATGCAGTTGTTACACCTGATGAAAATAAAGTAAACAACCACCCTAACCAACTCTTACCTGCTCCACTTTGTTCTACTTTCACAAAATCACTGATATGACTTTTTAAGTATTCTTTCGTAAGTAATGTGTCTCCAGGTGTAACGTCTCTAACGATATTATCTCCGTCAAAAGTCAATGTTCTAACTTGTGTCCGTGCAGCCTTTATTTTAAGCATGCATAGTCTGGTGTTTGAGGAGCAGAAGGCTCGATGTATGTAATTTTAAAGAAATCGTCATAATTTTTCTTAAAGGTTTCATATGTTGTTTTGAATGTATTGAACCTCATTATTATATCAAGAAGTTTTGTCAATGAGTCAGCAATTGCTTCATCTACTGTTGACGTTTTGAGTTTTATTTCTGCTGAGTCGTTTATGAATGGTACTTGACATTGAGTTGTATATGGGTCAAATCCTGTAGGACCCAAATGAAGCAAGTAGTCTAAAATATCACGAACAGACTTTGAGACAGTTGTGTTATCTTTCATGACGATTTCACCATTTACAATGAATGGCATAGTACATGAAGTTATTTGTGGGTCAAAACCAGAAGGATTGAAATGAAGCATATAGTTCAGCGCCTCATACACTGACTTATACACTGTTTCATTATTTTTTGACACAATTTCACCATTTACAATGAATGGCATTGTCGAAGGAGTTGTTTTTGTATCGAACCCTGAAGGATTGAAGTTAAGAATGCTTTCAAGAGCTTCATATACAGACCTATAAACAGTTGTGTCGTTCTTCATGACAACTTCACCATTTACAATGAATGGCATAGTACATGGAGTTAAAATAGGGTCAAACTTTTCATAGTCCTTCCATGTTATATATTTCTCAGTATTTCCATCAGAAATAACAATATATTTGTCAGTAAGTGTGAGAGAGTATTGACCAAAATATAAACGTTTAGCTCTGTCAGCTTCATACGCATATGCAGCTATACTCATATTTTAATGAGAATAAAATGTTGTTCTATTTGCAAAGTACAGACCCAAACGAATACGGGACAGTAAAGCTACAAACAAACTTAGGTCTACAGAATGAGGCGCTTGCATTCAGAATGGTTGACTTCAATACTATCGCTTCATTCGTTATAACAGATGAAACAGATTTCATGGAGCTTGAAATAGATGGAAAGAAGCACGAAATAAGATTTCACAATAATGTAGAATATAAGATGGAAACATTAGCTGGAGTGTTAAATGCTCTCATAAATACTACAATAAACAAGGATAACGAAGAAAACTTAATGAATGTTAAACTTATTGCAGGAGTTTTGAAGTTCAGTTATGCGAAGGAGTTTAAGATAACACGAATGAGTCATAGAGTCAACTTCTGGGTGCATACCATATGACATTTCCTTTGAAAAGTGTTGACAAAACGATTGAGATGAAATCTGTTCCATACGTATGTTATGGCAATTGTTTGTACATTGAGTCAAAAATAGCTAATGTCACAGGTATTTCAGGAGTTAATAGTAAAGGTTCAGTAGAATATAAATCCTTCTGTTATGCAGTCAATTCAATGTTCATTCCAAACGTTCCTGTCATAGCAACTCATTTAGGTAAATGGGTTCGCATTAGTCCTCATAATTTGAAAGACATGCAATTCAGACTTGTTGACTTTCAAGGAGAGCCTGTAGAACTGAAGGCACCAGTGCGAATGACTGTTGAAGTTGACTTTTTAGAAAATATTAAATGCAACAGCTTACAAGAGAACTCAGAGCTAAAAATATAAAGTATGAATGTTATGTATTAGGTCATGAACTTTGGTTGTTGCTGTTTGATGAAACAAATGAGTTAGTTATGTCAGTCAAGAGAACAGAAAAATATTGTGTTAGTGAAAACTGCACCAAGTCAATAAGATTAGGTTTGCATTATGAAGATGAGTTCGATACTGTTGAAGAAGTTTTGGATAGATATTACAAATTGCTAACTTGAAATTTTTGACTACTGACTGCTTTAATTTACTAAAACATATTTCAAACAAAGCTTATAGTCTGTGAAAGTTTTGTATACTCGTTCGAATATTTATACTTAAACTCAACTCCTGTAGTTCCTGGTGTTTCAATGATGCGGATGTTACCTATTTTCATGAATAGTGGCGTTTGACCACAGCATTCGATTTCAGGGTCGAGATAGTCAATGACACATTGTTTCCCTGTTATTCGTGATATAACATTTTCAAGGTCCTCCTTTGTTAGAATTATTTGGTTCTTGCTTATAAGATTTCAAAAGCTTCTTATCGTCTTTGAGTAAAATTGTTTGGTATAACTGAAGAAGGTAATGGTCTACGTTATCTGAAGGATTTGTTTGAACATTTGTGTAAGGGTTGTCGTTGGCTTCTCTTGAAAGAATTTGGTCCAGTGGTGGATACTCTAACTTAACATCTGATGTAGCGTTAGCGTTTGAAGCTGTTTAAATTCACCGACTTAAGTTCTGGTTCTTTTTCTTTCAAACACTCTGAACTATAGTTCTTTATGACAATATTGTTTGTCGTTCGTGAGTCAACATTTGATGTTGGTTCAATTGGAACATTAACGGCACCAGCTAAGATGGATTTGCTTCTCATTTCATATAGAATAAAAACCTTTTATATGTATGAAATGAACAATATACTCGACAAGGGTTTGAATGTAAAGCTAACGAATGAAAATATTGTTGAATTCACTGAGACAGGTGCTGTGTATAAAGATGTAGAACTACTGAACAAAAGAGCTAAGGGAAGAAGCAGGAACATGAACAAAGGGTGGAAGCCTATAAAAATTTATGTCAATGATGGCTCAGGAGGTTCAAACATAAAGTATGCAGAAAGTTATAGAGTTTATGCTCTCAAAGGTGAAAAGCCTTCATTTAAGAACAGCTATTCTAACGCATATCCTCAAAAGCTAACGGATGGGGAAGTGGATGATATGAATGACAGCAAAAATATTAACAGAAATGGCGACAGAGATGCATGGAATTTGTTTACCATCAGTCAATTGAAGGTTAAACTTTAAAACAATGTTGGTCGTTCCCATGGAATATTTTTGACTTTAATGGTATTAGTCATGATATGAATCTCAAGGTATGAACGAGGAGAGATGAGAGACTTATATGCTTCCCAAATTTCTTCAAAAGGTAATGTTATACCTGACTGTTTCCAAATGAGTTCAATATCATACGTGAGAAACCTTGAAAGATAACGAAGTCAGTTATGAGACGTTTTATGTTTAAAGCTAAAAACCTCCATGTTTGCATAAGTATTGCTACAGTTAAGTGGTAATGTCTGACTTTAGTAATGATGTTAGCTAATGGTGAGTCTGGTTTTGACACTAAACCTTTTCCGGCGAAGTCGTCACAAACAACAAGTGTTTGAAGGATATTTTTTGAAGGGGTATTTTGAAAGTTTTGATAGAATGTAGTTTGTCAGTCGTTTCATATCGTAAACTCCTGAGTATTGACGTAAGTGGTGTTTGTCAATAATTCTTTCCATCTCCTCAGAAGTCTTTTGCATTCCTGACTGTATAAATTCAACGATGGCATAATATTTCCTCTTACGTCGAATGTAACGTTGAAGAAATTCAATGAGTTCACTGTCTGGAACTTTAACGACAGAGGCTTGAACTTTTGACATAAATGTTTTCGCTGTTGAGTCCATAGAGTCTGAAGTTGCTGATATAATGATTTGGTCATAGTAAGAGTCGTTTCCTAAACGTTCTGTTATGAGTATATGACGAATGAGGTTAAATGTCTTACCTGAACCCATCTTTCCACAATAGAAATAAACACCATTTGAACAGAACTCATCTTTGCTGAAAGGAAGAATAAGAGAAGAGTTAAGTTTGTCTGTAGTTTCATTCATGTCCTTCATCTACATCATGTATTAAATGCTTCATTTTATCTCCATTAAAAATGCAAGTCAGAAATATTCAGAACATAGCACCGAGTCTAACTGACAAGAGTATAAAGATATACTATGAACACGTTATGATGAAACCTACCAAAATTCAAGAAAGTCAGTATACTTATGAATATCCAAGACACTGGGTAGAGTATGTAGGAGGTGAGAAAGCTATTGAAATCAGACAGGTTCGAAGTATTCCAGCAGGAAGAACAATATTATTGAAGAACTTTAATGTTTTGAGTATAATGATGAAACAAAGAAGCAAGATAGTTTCCTGTTGCTGTGTATGTGAACTAGACACAGGAGATGACATGAAAGTTTTTAACACAAAGCTTCAAACGGTAGTGAGAGAACAACTGACTGCGGAAGGACATCCATTACCTTCAGAAGTTACCATAGCATATAATTTTGAAACAAACTCAATAGATTTTAAAGTCGTCTCTGCAAAGAAGTCAGGTTTTACATTTAATGAAGCAGATGTATATTCGAATGAAAACTTCAAAGCTATTGCATGGTTAGATAATGACGATTGCTTTAAGAAAATATTTAAATTCAGTGACTCAAAGATGTCAATAGATGACCTTCGTGGAATGTTACCATCGACGTTTACAGTAGAAGGTTCAGCAGGATTGCTTACAAGATTGTCAATTGGTGGTATTTGGTCTCGTGAGAACATTGTTATAAAATCCAGTATAAGTGAATTTGCTGAAGAATCTATATTATGTCTTTCAAACTATATGTATTCGCCGCCGAAGCATTATAGTATAACAAACTTTGTCAGTAAGTTTAACATAAGACTTGTCGAACCTTCTTCAATGAAAGATGTTGTGCTACCTAAAGACGGAAAGGATGGACTCATTATTGAGATGATTTTAATTGCATATTAAATGAGTTTGTTTTTGAAGGTCATTCATGATGAAATAATTGTTGTAGAAGATGTTAGCAATTGTTCAGACATTTTGAAGCGTATAGATGATATAAGAAATAAGTTAGATAGACCGCAAAGCGGTGAGGGCGAAGCCCGTGAGAACGTTTATGTTTCATTGACTTTCTCCAGTAACGAGAGCTTTTATGAGATAATATTGAAGAGAGATGATTTTAATATGGTGTAAATGGTAGCTTGGGCAGCTTTAGGCGCAATGGGAACAAAAGCATTAGCATTTGGAGCAAAAGCACTTGGAGCTTATGACGCAGTAAATAAAATGAGTGGAGGAAGGGTTTCAAAGACATTAGATGCAAATAAAGGAAAGATTGGAGGCTGGGTTGCAAAGAAGTTAAGATTAAATAAAATAGGGCTCATAAATAAAGCATCCAATTTGGTTGCGACTGAGTCAGAAAATGCTTTAGGAAAGGACGATGAGTTTGCAAAACACGCAAAAGACTTTAATGACCAGATGAAAGGTGAAACAATGCATTTAAATAGAGTCGATGGAACTAAAGAAAATGTTTCTTCTCCACAGTAGTTCTTCCGTATGGTCCCTATGGAATGTATGGAAACCCTTACGAAAGACCATTTGACCCATTGACTGGTGGAAGTAATTGGTATCATTACGGACGAAGAAGAAAGACAGTCAAGTTGGAGACAGATGTTAAGAAAGCAACTAAAAAGAAACCAAGGAAGAGAGTTATAAAGCAATGAATTCAACAGGGTAGAAATGAGGTTAGAAATCGGGTTAGATCTAACCATCTACCCTAAATTTATTTTTGTGCTATGTTTTCATACGCGTGAAGAAAAAACCAGAATTTTCGAAAAAGTGACACCAACTATTAAAGTTATTTTATTACTAGATTTATTTACAAATTATAAGATAATATCATTAACCGAATATATTTTTAATATAAATAAAAAACTTTTTTATACAAAAAATTACAATCAATCGATAAATATTATAAAACATTTATTCCAAAAAGATTAAGTAATAGGTGGGATCCTGCATATAATATAATTTTATGTCATAAAGTTTACAAATTTTAGATGGACCACAGTGAGAATGTGAGTGGTTAATTTAAAGGTGGTCTGATAAAGATCTCGAAGCTTACTCAACACAGCATGAAGCAGTTTCTAATACACAATCTTACTAGTGGTGTTTCGGTCGCCAGCGCTCTCATAGGGGTGCTGATTTCAAAAACCACTACTTCAAATTATTCAACAATACTCAATGCATCATGAAGCAGTTTCCAATTCAACAATACTCAACATAGCATGAAGCAGTTTCTAATAAATATATACATATATAAATATATACATATATAAATATATACATATATAAATATATACATATATAAATATATACATATATAAATATATACATATATACATATATAAATATATACATATATAAATATATACATATATAAATATATACATATATAAATATATACATATATAAATATATACATATATAAATATATACATATATAAATATATACATATATAAATATATACATATATAAATATACATATATATATATAAATATACATATATATATATAAATATACATATATATATATAAATATACATATATATATATATAAATATACATATATATATATAAATATACATATATATATATAAATATACATATATATATATAAATATACATATATATATATAAATATACATATATATATATAAATATACATATATATATAAATATATAAATAACAAAATACAATCAAAAAATAGTGTTTGGAAATTTAAGGTTAAGTGTCACTTTTTCGTAAATTCTACCACACTCGGTAGTGATATCATTAATTTTTATTTTATTTTTTATTTTATTTTTTATTTTAATTTTATATAAATGACGAAAACTATTGAGATAACAAAATACAACGGTCATGGGTTCAAGAACTTGTTCTTCGTTCCTCGTGAAAATACATTCTATCAGATACGAGGGAGAAAGGGTAAAGTTAGTTTGAGCGTTTATGACTACAAGCATAATGGAAAGTTTATACAAGCAATAGATACAAACGGTAAGCGTGTTTCATTAGCTTTGTCAAAACTTACATACATTTATTTTGACAGTGATTTTGACCTATATGAAGAAGAAAGTGAGTCAGAAGATTATGAGCTGTTATGTGAAGCACAGCAATGGGAGGAGTTGCAATACTTTTATAAGTGAGAACGTTTATTTTTACAGTAGTGAGGTGAAGTGGTTGGCGGCTTTGTAAATATTTAAGGTTAAGTTAGTGTTGTCGTTTGTGTTGTAAAATATACGTTAACGGTTTTGTAAAGTGTCAAATTCACATATAATGGGTAAGGAGCGCGCAGTGCCTCCGTACCCTTGATATGTATACTAACTGATATCATTTATTTTTAAGTTTATTTTTTATTTAGTGAGGACGGTAGTGAATTCGTTAGTGAAGTCGTTAGTGAGGTGAAGTGGTTGGCGGCTTTGTAAATATTTAAGGTTAAGTTAGTGTTGTCGTTTGTGTTGTAAAATATACGTTAATGGTTTTGTAAAGTGTCAAATTCACATATAATGGGTAAGGAGCGCGCAGTGCCTCCGTACCCTTGATATGTATTCTATCTGACCCTCGTATGTTGACTGTGAGAAAGGCATCCTTTATCTGAAATAGATGCTTTTCCAACAATCAAATTCGAAGATCTTCGACGTTGTTGTAAAAAGAGAAGGAGAAGGAAAGAAGAGGAAGGAGAGGAAGAAGGAAAGGAAAAGAAGAAGAAAAAAGAAAAAAAAGGACATATTAAATATAATGCGCACTTAATAGTGCCGAGGCGGCGGAGCCGCCGAGGCGCGATTTTTTTGACCCTATATTACCGCACGGCAATGTTTTTCTCGATTTTGTACAGCCCTATCTCTGATAGATTTCCTTGCCTTTTGGATATGCTATAATATATAGCCTAGCATGATAGGATATGATGTCAAAAGTTAGAACATAACTTAGGATCTTGAGAAAAATGATAAACAAAAATTACATAAAAAAAGAAAAATTTTATCTAATTTGTTTTTTTGGACCGAATAAGTAATTTTATTGAATTTCAATACGACACATAGATTTTATTATTAGTAATAAATATAATGATTTACTATTAACAAGGAACCTAAACTAATGAAAATTTGATTTCAAATATTGTATATGATTATCATAGATTACCAAAATATATTGCTATTTATGAGGATATAATATTGATTATTAGTAAATCGTATAAATTTAATAAATATACCATGAATATTGAATGAATTTCTTGATTCATAGGGGTAAAACGCGCTTTTATATGATTTAGACAGAGAATTTATGAGATGTAAATAACACAATAAAGGTTTATATTGAATATTTTCTAAAAATAAATCGAAATTATAAAAAACAATACATTTATTCATTGAAACTACTTGGACAAATATGAAACAAGCATTCAGGCAATACTTTTGAGACTTCAACGCATCTGATAATTTTTATATAACTTCACCTCTTATGCTTAGAGTGGAGGTATTGAGATCGTATAAGTATAGATGAGCTCACATTCAGATATGATGTGTGAACTTCTGTTTTCACTGCAATTTTGAATCAGAATAAACTCAAAACAAGAATAAAATGATATACTCACTCTCTAAATGTGTTCGAGATTTAAAGTTGTATGAATAAAACGATTCATCTTTCGAAGCCTCCCATTTAATGAGAGACTTCGAAAGATGAATGTATTCATGTAGATGAAATACTATATATGACCATGTGTGATACTAAAGATATCAAAATGTTCATTTTTAAGTGCAATAGAAGGGTTATCTCTCGTAAAATCTCAATTTAAGGAAGATTTAGAAAGAACTCCTTTCCTAAGTAGATAGTGTGTGGTTTCTGTCTTTTGGTTGATCAGGAACTATGAAATTAAGTCGGACAGAAAGAAGTTCTTTCCAAAACAGACTCCAAATGAGTTGTTCGAAAAGAACTTCCTTCTGTATATGGATAATTGTAGTTACCGCACTGAAGTATGTGATTGTGATGATGGAGTTCTCGATAAATCTAAAATCGGATTAAGATTAATTGAAAACTCAAGTAATTCTTTGAAATCTTGTGTTGTCTGGCACTATAATAACCAAAGAATGAGAATATTATGTTGAATGATGAGTACGTGTGCTCGGCATTCGCCGAGCGAATTGAGTTTAACGTACTATGAAAAGTGACAAATTTGGGCTTTTTTTCCTAGGGTTATGATCTCTTCCTTTCTGCTCAATACGACAGAAATGAAAGAATGAATTTGTACTCCCTAATTGATTACTACAATCTGTATCTATCTTTAACATAGAATTAGCTGCATTGTGATTTATACTCCAGAATTATTCAATTTAAGATCAACCTCGTAAATTTTAATCATATTGCACCAATACTCCTACGTTGAGATAAGAACATGATTATACATACCAAAGCCCCATATTAAAAATCAAAATTTAGCACCTCCATTATGCAACCACATTATTCGTCGCAAATAAGTATATTTACGCATATTATGATGCATATTCACACAACTCGTATACATGAAAAGTTATTAAAATCAGACAAAATTATTGCAATAAGGAAAAAAAAACAACTTTATTATATATGTTAGTAATGAATTACAAATATTTCTACAAAGAATGCTCAATACTTCATATAATCTTCGAATATTTCTTATTACAAGTTAATACATTTTGACTCGAACATGATAAACAAAAGCTGACACGCTGATTACTACATTTATGAAAATATAGTACGTTTCCATTCATCTGTTTACTTGTTTTTGTTGGAATAAAATCATTTTTTTTTCTTTCATGAAATAAGAATTTTGCTGCGAAAGCAATATCTCTAACAATAATTAATACATTACGTCAACTCTGGAATGAGTATTTATCAAATATGATATCAAAATCAAAAATTAGTTGTTTTTTATGAGTAAAAACGATGTAAATTGATTATTTGACTAATTATCAAATACTTTGATTTTCCAAATTTTTTTCGAAATTGATTTTTTCATGTGAAAATTCAAATTGTTTAATTTCATTTTTGAAATTTTGAATTTTTTTTGGAATTTTGAGTTGATCAATTCAGCAGAATTGATAATGCTATTGCTTTAGGGCATACCACAAGGTGATGAATAAAAGGTGAACATTAACAAATTATTTTAAATCACAAATATCATCCTCATCAACTTTAATTCTAAAAAGAACTGTACTGAATTATGAAAATGCATGATTTACATTATTAAAATCTTTGAATGAAAATAGTACAAGATAAGTTTTTATTCATTTTTAATTAGATTTAAACGAAAAACTACTCCATATTAAAATTTAAGTCGAGAAATCGTATTTTGTCTTATTTGTTAGCATTTTGTAGACATTCTAATCTTGAATTAATTTGTTACATGATATTATTAACAAATTTAACTGAAAAAATATGTTAATATGGAATAAACCATGATTATATAAGCTATCAATGCTATATATACATATGTAAAAGATTCATATTAACTCAATTAACAAAAATGATAGATTTTCATAAAGGTTCAATCTAGGTTCGTCCGAAAATTTTGATTTTTATATAGAAGACATAGTTTCATATACATAATTAAATTTTCAAACAAATTTGATCATACCATTTATTAAGCAGGATAGTATATTAATTACTATCAGTATAAAAATATAAAAATGATTATATTTAATTATTGCATAATTTAGTCAAAGAGTTATAAGCCTCAAGTGATCGTTATCACCTTCAATGCACGTATACTTTATTGATTCATAGATATTTAATCTATGTTTGACATGTTGTTGTCGTCATTCGTTTTGTTCCCATTCTTCCTAAGTTAGAATTAGAGAATACACCATCCATATCATCTAATTTGGTCCTCAGCGATAGATTGGTTCATTTTGGAGGAGTCCCATCAGACAGTTTTCGAGCACCAAATATCAAATTTTAATGTATACAAATCTTTAGTGATTTATCTCTTTTATGATGAGTAAAAGGTTTCTGCTCATCAACATTTGATTTCCGACATATATGATTTCTAATTGCAATTATTTACTTTCTTTTTATAATCTAACTCTGTGACTCATACCATAAATTAATTATTGGAAAGTGTCAATATGTTTGGCACAACGCATGGCGGAAGATATCAAACCATGCAGGGAATATGATACGTTTAAGATCTCCGAACTTTTTTTCCAAAAATTTTCTATCGTTGCCCTACCTCTAATGACAGTTTTCTCTCAAATGTCTTGGAGAAAAGACAATTTATTATCAACTGTCTTGGATAAAAAACATTTTTCTCAATATTGTCGGCGGTTTGAGACATCTTTTTCTCAATTCATACTCAATTGTCTAGATTTTCTATAACTTACAATCTACCTTCTAAGCAAAATAGACCCTTCTATGGCCCGTGTGAAGCGTTATTTTAGCGTCGGTTATGCCATACTTGTAGAAGTATTCGAGCGATTCGTACTCGAATTCCTCGTTTACATTCTACAAGTATAGCAAGCCTTAGGGATGCTCATTTTGATGGGTCTAACCGCTTAGACCCATCAATTTTCAATTATATTATATCATTATCATTTAAAGAAGCCGGATCAAACAACACAGTTGGACCATAAGAGCACCTTGAGTATGATAGACTTTACTCACCAGTTTCCATCAAACTCCCCTCACTACTCCTCCACTCTCCTTATTACAAACCACTTTCCATTAAACTCCCCTCACTACTCCTCCATTCTCCTCATTACTAGCCAAATTCCATCAGATCTCCTCCATTCTACTCAAACTCTCTTCAGATCTCCTCCATTCCACTCACATCTCCTCCATTCCACTCAGATATCCTCCGCTCTACACAGATCTCCTCCATTCTACTCAAACTCTCCTCCATTCTACTCAGATCTCCTCCATTCTACATAGATCTCCTCCATTCTACACAGATCTCCTCAGATATCCTCCGCTCTACTCAAACTCTCCTCCATTCTACTCAGATCTCCTCCATTCTACTCAGATCTCCTCCATTCTACACAGATCTCCTCCATTCCACTCACATCCCCTCCATTCCACTCAGATCTCCTCCATTCTACTCAAACTCTCCTCCATTCTACACAGATCTCCTCCATTCTACTCAATACCACTCAGATATCCTCCAATCCACTCATTACTTCTCAAATCTCCTCAGATTCCATCAAGCTCTCCTCATAAGTCTCAGATTTCTCTCATTCATCAAACCTCTAACCTGATTTCATTTCTCTTAGGCTCCAGTTTTCTCTTCCTTATCATTTTATTGTTTGAATAAAAATTTATTTCTTAATTTTTTTAAAATTTTATGTTTATTTTATATATTCCAAATAAAACCGTTCAAATAGTTCTAATATATCAAACATTAGTGCAATACTTTCTGAATTTTAAATAATTTTTTCAAAATTAAATAGAAATAAGAAAGGAAAAAAAGGAAAGAAGAAAGAGAAGAGGAAGGAAAAAAAAAGGAAAAAAATAGGGCATATTTGGAATCTACGCGCTTTTTTTGAATGTTCATATGCGAACGCGGAGCTCAGACCTCTCGCTTCGCTCGAGCCTTCGCTCCGCGTTCGCGCAAAATTTTTCAAGTAAAAATCTACTTTGTCCAGAGGATTATGAAAAAACGTCACTTTTCATATACATATTTTCATTTTTATACTTATCATGATTATATTTTAATACACCAATGTCATATATTAGAAATTGATTCTGTGGTAGCACCATGATCAATTAAGAATTTAACAATATCATCCAACTTTTGCTCAATAGCAATAGAAAGTGGACATTCAATATTACAAAATATATTTGATAAAAAAATGATCAATATGAAGTGTAAATGAATAAAATGTAATAGTGATTGATATGAAATGAAAGAGTTTATAATAGAATAATGATTGATATGATATGAGAGATAATCCAATATAATAATGATTGATATAAACTGAAAGAGAATACTATGTAATAGTGATTGATATGAAATGAAAAAGAATTTCATATAATAATGATTAATATGAATTGAAAGAGAAATTCATATAATAATGAATGATGTGAAATGAAATTGAGCAACTTTAGCATTGGCATCAGCTCCATGATCAATTAACAATTTAACAATATCATCCGACTTTTGTTTAATAGCAATAGAAAGTGGACATTCAATATTACAAAATATATTTCATAAAAATATTATTGTAGAAAAATTAAGTTATTCTTCAATATGTTGTATAGTTTAGTATTCTCGTTGCTATTCTATCTTATATTAATGAATAAATTTATTCTTTTAAGTAATGTAATCCATTTCCGCCAAAACTGCTTTTTTATTGTGTTATGCAAGCATATATATGTTTCATTGAAACTCATTTATTTTGTGAAAATATTTCAGATGCTTAAAAATTATAATGAATATCAATGACATTGAATGAAATAGTATATGAGTATTAGAACTGCAACAAATATACTTATTGCTAAGTATTATCATTATATTTGTTGCAGTTCTAATACTGATATAGTTAGTATACAAGTCTTGGGTACGGAGGCACTGCGCGCTTCCTTACCCAATACTTGTGAATTTGACACTTTACAAAACTGTTAACGTAAATTTTGCAACACAAACGACAACACTAACTTAACCTTAAATATTTACGAAACCGTTAACGTAAATTTTACAACACAACCATAACACCAACTCAACCTTAAATATTTACAAAACCATCTGACACATAAATGACTTCACTAACGAACTCACTAATGTAAAAATAAACGTTCTCACTATCGTTCTCACTAACGACTTCACTAATGTTCTCATAAATTTTCCTCAATATCTTCATCATCAGTGTTAACCCTATTGTAGTCATACTTGAAGCCATAAACTTTCTCTAACTTCTTAACGTACAATTTACATAACTTACCTTCGTCATCGTATGGTTTAATGATATAACTATTTCTATCTTTATACACAGTCAATGAAAAGTCAACTGGTCTCGGATGTATTTGAAAGAACATGTTATGCTCAGGAAGGAAGAATAAATGTTTAAATGTATGTTTGTTATACTGTGGAATTCGAATGAGTTGCTTTTGTTCTGTCATTTACATAAAAATAAAATAAAAATAAACTTAAAAATAAACTTAAAAATTAATGATATCACCACCCTCACACGTATGAAAACATAGCGCAAAAATAAATTTAGGTGAAGTGGTGAGATCTCACCTGTTTTTTCACCTCTTTTTTCACCCGTTGAATTCATTACTTTATAACTCTCTTCCTTTCTCCAACTCTTCTAACTTCTTCTTAAGTTCAGCAATGTTGTCCTCATGAAGTTTAATCTTTCTCAAAATTCCTTCTTTATCTAATGGTTGCTTTATCTTTCTAAACTGAACTCTACCATCCTTCATAGTATGAATGTAAAAACCTTCTGGAATAGTTCCTGATTTAATGTATTCTACCAAAAACTTTTGTTTCATTGCTTCAGTGACTTTAGTCGTCATTTCAATCAAATAAAAATTTTAATATTAAATAAAAATAACGTTATTTTTTCAGTAAGGAAACGCAGGAGTTTACGATTTATTTGAGGCGTGGGTTCTGGTTTAAATGTTGGAGTCGGTTAGGAGTTGACTTTTGAACAGGAGTTTGTACTTCCATAGGTTCAGGAGTTATTGAAGGTTTTGCTTGTGAAGGCGTTGGTTTTGGCGAATGTGTTGGAGTTTGTTTAACTTCAGCTACTTCAGTATTATTTACAACATTTGCTTTATTTCTTTTCAACATCATAACTGCTCCTGCTGTAGCTAGCAAACCTAGTGGGAGACCATATCTTATATAAGGACTTGACCAAATGCTATTTTTGACAGGAGCTGGTGGAACACCTAACCTTGGTGAAACTGCTCTTTGCCATTGTGCAGCTCGTAAGAAATATTCAATAGGTGCTCCATAATCGTTTGTAAAGTTTGTTTCATAGATGGTGAAGGTTCGCGAGAGCTTGATGAAGAACTCATTTATAAGCTTTAAAAATAAACGTTCATCCTTTATTCCTCACTGTCGTCCGTGGCTAAGTTATAGTCATCTAATCTTATTATGGGGATGCCATTAGCACGCACCTGAATGGCAAAGCAACAATCCCTCATAAATCCAATAAGTGGCTTTGGTACGTTTTCAGTTGCTAGTTCAATAGGTCCTTTAACAGACAATTTGTATGTTATTGGAGCAGTAGATGTTTGACCTTGTTGGAAGCAAAAGTCCACTTCTGTTGGAAAACCACATAAGAAATGTGTGTTGTCATAGCTATCCCATTTATGTTCCACACTACCATCATCCACCAATGACCTCATAACATCTTCATTAAATCCTATCATATCATTGTTTGTATTGCAAGCGTTCGCAACCATTTCATAAAATACAGGTCCATATGATTTTTCAGGTTCTGCAGGCATATTTCCATAAGCTCCCATGGAAAGCTGAAGATATTTAAACTTAGGGTTCTCAAAATTAACATAATAGTTGTCTTTCTTTCTAAATAGTGCCCAAATACTTTTAACATTAATAGGCGTATAAGCTGCTGTAAATGTTGCACTTGAACTATCTGTATTCTTTGAGAATGAACCGTCCATAGGAATCCAATCCATAACTTTAACAGGAAAACATAAAGCCTCGTTTGTATAATGTTCTACAAGTTCTGTATAAATGTTAGGGTCTAAAGAGAATGACTTTGGATGAATGAAACATTCATTAAAATCCATCTTTGTTCGAAATAGTTGCTGGGTTACAGTTGTAATAGTAACTGTTCCACTAGCTTCAGTTGCACTCGTTATCATAGTGAATGGTTCATTCCATGGAACAAATTTATTTGTCGGTGGATTTGAACCTGAAGCAAATGCAACTTTAAGAGTTGGATTGAAAGCAATGATATCATTTACAGATATAGATGTGCATTGTAAGGCGTCGCTACTGAACTTTACTTTAAGCTGAATGTTTCCTGCAAAAGCTGGAATAAATCGAATAGGTTCTAATGGAAGGAATCTTCTAACAGGAATTCTTAAACGAAGCTTAAAATCAAATGATTTTCCTGCTGTAATTGGACCACCAACAATTTGTCCTGTTCTGCATGTTCCCGAATGACTCCATACATCTTTATGTCGAGTCTTTGAAAAAACATCGACTTTCTTTATTTGTTCGGTAGTTTGTGAGTTTGAAGTTATATATGCTTCTTCTCTTGCGTTGTCTTGAGAATATACGATACGACCATTTGCAAGGATTTGATATCCAGCAACTGCATAGAAAGCGTCATCGAAACCAATCCAAAATCCTGGTGGGTTTGTTTTATTGGAACCTGAACCAATTTCTTTATCTACAATAAATTGACCTTCCATTTTATACGTAATGAATGTATTGTAAAGGTCCAACATATTTTCACCAGGAGGTGAGAGATTGAATGTTACCCATGTGTTATCTTTAGCAGTTCCAGGTTGTGATGGAATCTTTGCGTCAGAATATTTTCTATTAGTGTCACCAATTTGAACTGCATTGTCTATGATATCGAAATATGAGCGAATCTGATGAATATGCTCTGCTGGAGTAAATTCGTTTAGCTGTTCGTTCTGCATGTATTTACTTCAGATAAAAATATCTATTTACTTCATTATTCTCACTCTTCTTCTTGGCATTCGTGGTGGAAGTTGTTTCTTGACATTTTCAATGAACTGTACATTCTCTTTTGTCTCAACTTCTTTCACTGGCGGGTCAGGGTTCTTTGACTCGGTTTGTTTTTCAATGAAATTCACGAACTTTGCAATAAGCTCTTGGTTCGTTATTGAAAGAACATCTGGCTTCTTTTCTTCTTGTTCTATTGACTTTTCAGTTTGAACAGAAGGTTTTATATGGGCTTCGTGGGCTTCGCCCTTGCCATGCACCTTAATGTTGTCGCTCTCTGCATTCGCTAATGGTACCTTTCTTTTTCTTACGTATATTTTACCATCTTTACTCTGACTTACGTAATAGAAAGGATGTTGTATTCCTCTTGCGTCATTTAATATAATAGACTCTCGCTCTGATTTTGACAAGCTCATTTTACATCGGTTAAAGTTTTAATTTTGTTTTTTATCTGCAATCAAATGACTCAGACAAGCCCTACGGACAAGACCCAAGGTGTCATAGATGTTGAAGCATTGAAGAAAGAAATTCGTGAGCAAATTTTATCCGAACTGAAGGAACAAAAACAAGAACAAAAGCCAGAGAGACCAAAGAGAAAACTTAGTGAAAAACAACTTGCTGCATTAGCTGCTGGAAGACAAAAGAACCCACGTTTGCTGGCAAAGAAAGCTAGAGAAGAAGCTGAAGCAAAAGCTAAAGAAGCTGAAGCAAAGAAAGAGTAAATGGTTTTTTTTATCCGAACTAAATGTATAGACAAATACCTTTATCTGTTGCGTTCAGTAGTGAAAACCCTGACGTCAAAATAAAGGGGAACAGAGTAACGTTTAAGTTTCCAACAGACTGGATTGTGAACATAAATGAAGAGAAGTACATTGGCATAACATCTATGTATATAACACGTGCTTTCAGAAAGGTTGACTTTATACTTCAAGTCGAGATAGAAAATGACGAACAGTCTTTAAGCGCCCAAAACATTCACATATACAAATACTTTAAAGACGATACAACATTGTTGCAATGTATGATTTCATTTAATGAGATGTTCGAGAAAAAGTTCAATATTGAAGTACAAACTTTACAGCCTTTACGTGAGTTTCTTGCACAACTGAAAGAAGAAGGTAGTCAGCCACAACTTATAGACTTTCATTATGAATTTAATGAAAATGAAGATGGAACTCATGACTGTCAGTTTGTTATATATTCACCATTCAATGAAGTCGCTAAAGAGAAAAAAAATCCATTACGTATAAGATTTCAAATCTCCGAACCAAGTGATGATTTTAAGAATGTTTTCAATTATGATGCAATGCTTCCGAGGAAAAATGAATTTTCAAAGATTGTAACACCTGGCATTTGGGATAGAAAGCAAGCTATATTATATTCAAACTTAAGTAAAGGAGTTGAAAATGAGTTCATTGGTCATACAAGAACTTCACCACTTCCTAACCCTAAATACTATAAATTAACTGGCTTCAATCGTGAGTTTTGGATAGACATGTTCTCCACTCATGACCATAAATGTCCAGTGTTCTTGCCTCCAGACCATAAGGACTGTCTCTACATTGAAGCACAACTCTTAAACTCTACCATCGCAGTATTGTAAAATCTACGCTAGCTTTATTTTTATCACGAATGACCTCATTCATGACCTCATTCATGACCTCATTGCTGACAAAAATAAATGACCTCAGAACTTCAACTTACGAATAAAGCTTGTTTTAGTCGTTATTGAAAAGTTGAACTTTTCAGCAAAGCAAGGTTGACATGACTTACATAAGTCGAATGCAATCTCTTGACCATCATAAAGTGCTTTGTAAAGTTTCATTAAACTGAACTCAGAGTCTTTGTCATATGTTCCAACAGGTATGTGAATGTTCTTATCTTCATTGTAATAGCATTGTATAGCTTCAGGAAACATTTCATTAGCGGTTAAAGCAATAACATCTTGCTTCACGCCTTTCATTCTGCAGTGAAATGCAACTTCATTTAAATCATTCGTGAGTAAGTCTATGTAGGTCTTCTTTCCACAGAAAATACTTTTATAAGCTAAACTTTGTTTTCCAGGTGTTATTTCTGCAAAGTCGCTATGAAATTGACCAAGGTTCTTTCCTATAAGTTCGCGACCATATCTCTTCTTAAACTCTGCTGCAAGCTTTGGTATGTCTTCATTATATAAGTGCATACTGTCGGTATCCTGGTAAAATATTTGAAGTCCCATATCTTCAGCAGTACAGAATACTTCATTCATAATACGTTTTGACATAGACAGAATATTAACACCAAGTGGACAGAAGTTAAAGTGTCTGCAAATGCTTTTCGTTAGCTTGAAAATAGTTTTATCTGAACCATCCAAACCTTCGAACTTCACTATATGGTTGTAATTTCTTATAGCATATCTTATAGCATCTTTGTCATTTACTATGGTTATTTTTGACTCAATAGGAGATAGAATAGTTTTGCCATAAATGCTGTTCAGAATGAGTTTTATAATTTCTTGTAAGGGGTTTCCTTCTTTCTTATACTTTAACCTTAACTCAAACAACTTCTTTACTTCATCTCTTATTCTCATATCTCTGTTTCCATCGTAATAGTATCCTTGCAACACTTCACATTTGACACCTTGATATTTTATGAGGTCTTGTAATGTTATATGGTCAACATACATGAGACAGCAAGTGTTTGAACTTCTTGGAACGTTAAGTTCTGGATTTAGTTCAGGGTCGCAAACTATTAAATGAAAGTGTCTGGGTATACCAATCTCTGTTATCTTAATGAGAACAAAGAAGCCAGACATAAACTTTTCACCAATGGGTTCCTTTTGGTCATCATCGAATAAATGTCTCATGAGATACTCTGTGCTTAGCATCTCATCCTTCAATACTTTTGGAATTCCTTCTAAAGTATAAAGTCTTGCTATAGCTGAAGGATATAATGAAACAGTGTCGAAGTCAGCAATGAGTTTCTTTTTGCTCTTTTGTTTCATGTTATCTGACAACATACATCTTCCACTTGAATGCATCTCGAAATAAATTCTCTTGGTTTATTTGAGAGGTCATAAAGATTTCCATTCGGGAAGTATACTCTGTTCTCAAACAATTTGTTAGCAATAGAACAAATACTAACGTAGTCATAAACGTTTAAATCAAACTCTTTCAATAAGTCATTGCGGAACTTTACAAAACCTTCTCTTAAAATTCTTACATCTTGTTTGCAGTAAAACGTGCTATATTTTTCTAAGTCGAAGTGGTTTTCATCTATTCTGCAACCTTTGATGGAATCTATGTTCTTCATAAATGTATCTGCATCATGGATAAACTTACATGCTTCAGAAATGACACCAGTTCTGTTGTCATTTGCTAACAAAACACTGCTGTAGTAGTTATATGGAAATACTTCTTTCGGGCCAGTTTGTAAGTTAAACATAGCAGGAAATAGTTTAAGCTTCTTATTTATAACACTGTAAGAGTCTTTTATAATAATTGCCCGTCCTTTATATAAGCCAGTTATTTGCATTGTTCGTGAACCTTTAATGATGGGAGTTCCTTTCACTTCTGTCATGTGTCTTAAGATGAAGTTTATGTCATAACTGAGGTTATGGAAATATATTAAACTCTTGTCAGGAAGTCTTTCCAAAAATTCTGTTGCACAGTTTTGACCCAAATGCTTTCACTAACTGAACCATCTTCACTGTCATAACAGATGTTAAAAGCTTTATGAAAGCCATCCGTACTACACTCAAAGTCAGCAAAGAAAACGTGCTCAGGTATGAATTTACATTTAGCTTTATTTACTTCTTTTGACTCTGCTTTCTTCTTCAGTTGTACACAATACTTTGGAGCATATGTCAAATCTTTAAATGGTGCAAGGTTCTGTTTATATAAGTCAGTAGTATATGTGAAAAGTTCTCCATAAGAAATAGGTTCGAAATATTTGCACTCCCACAATGTTTTCATAACATCCCATAACGGTGTTGTTCTATCATAACGAACTACATATTTATCTTCTCTCTTTGTATAAATCTTCATCTGTTTCTCATTGTTCATTCCACCACAAGCTTTGAGAATTTCTTTATAGTTTCGAATGAAGTATGTTGTCATTGGTAATCTTTCATTTAGCATGTAGTGGTCTTCAACAAGAAGTAAGTCAATAGTTCTAACAGTTTCGCATTCTTTTGGTATATATCTCTTTATTTCATTATGTCTTGAGTCATTGAAATAACCAATGGTAACATTAAATGCTATACCTGTTGCGTCAGAAATTTCTTGTACTTTACTTTGAGGAAAGTCTCTAACACGAATGACTTCTCTCATGTGGTCAATAGTTTCTTCATTTACTCCAGCCTGAATGCAAGCATAAACGAAACAATTGTCCTCTGTCATAAGTGTTGCAGTTCTTTTGTTCAGTTCATTGAAGATTTGGTAGCGTTCAAGATTTATAGGTAATGTGCAAAGATACTTCCAGAACTGACCGCTTCTCTTCTTATAAAACTTCTTTTCACCATTATCTTTCCAAAAGCTTTCTATAAGTGCTGGGTTTCCTGTTTGCTTAAGAGCTTCCAAAATGGCTTTCTGGTCATTTGTCAGTGTGCTTTCATCTCTATATGGTCTCTTTTTTGGTTTGCCTTTCTTTACATCTGACATCGTTAAGCCTTCATATTCTGTTAAATCATACATCTTTATTTCAGTAAGATTCTTTATGTTTGTCAAGAAGAAGTCATAGTGCATTTCAACAATACCTGCAGCATTTGCTTCTATCTCTGATATAAAGTTCTCCTTCAAGAGCTGATGTAGTAATGTTCCAATATTATTGAGGTTTAACGTAGAACATTCATACTTTCCACCAAGTTTATAACATACCATCCATCTCTGTTGTGAGTTTATTTTAATTTTCTCTAAGAGTCTCATGAAAACCTTACCGAAATGTTTGTGTAAGTAGTCTCTGTTTGGTTCATCTAAAGCTTCGATGTTAAAGTCAATGAGTCTATTGCCTGACTTCACATTTCTCTTCCTATTCTCTTCATCTTTCTTTAACCATCTCTCACCTTCTTTTGGTTTGTCGTCAATGGAACGAATGACATCGTTAGCTTTGCGAACTTGTTCTATAGCGCTCTTAAACATCTCTCTTCTCTGTTGTTTCAGTGTGTCGTCTCTTCTTCTTGTTTCACCAACGTTTGCATTTGTTATGTCAAACATTTCTTGACGAACATCATGCGAAAGAGCTTTACGAGTATGACCAACGTTCGCATTTGTTATGTCAAACATTTCTCTTCTTACTTCATGCGAAAGAGCTTTACGAGTATGACCAACGTTCGCATTTGTTATGTCAAACATTTCTCTTCTTACTTCATGCGAAAGAGCTTTACGAGTATGACCAACGTTCGCATTTGTTATGTCAAACATTTCTCTTCTTACTTCATGAGGTACTGAACGTCTATGATATAAGTCAATAGCAATGTCATTTAAAGGAAATGCTCTTGCATGGACTTCGTCCTCGCCGCGTTGCGGCTTTATGAACTCATGAATTCTATCATAACTTATTGCACCATTGTAGTCTTTAATGAAGTCAGCGAGTGCTTTTTTGTTTGTCGCGTAATGTTTTGCAACATCTATGTTAGCTTCTGTAAGAAGTTGTTTTATTTCCGAGTGTTCTAACTTAGACAACTTCCGATACATCTTTAGTAGGAAATAAAAAAATATTTTTTGAAAAAATAAACTTAGAAAAATTATTTCTTTATATATTTGCCATTCCGAACTTCGAAAAGATGTTTTATACCAGCATAGAATTTTTCTCTAGAGCTTGTCTTATATCGTTTTCATGACAATATTTTCTATATTCTTCATATAAAGCCTTTTTTTCATACATTTTATAAGGAATCTAACCAGAATAGCGCATATCCATTTTCGTTATCTAGGTCTCTATATGTTTGTGAATTTCGCTTTCTTCTGTTTGTAGAATTTCGCCTTCACTATTTAGTTCTATGTATATATATTGTGGAATTTCGCTTTCTCTATTTAGTTCTATGTCTATATATTGTGGCTTAAAAGGATGTGGGCAAGAAGGGTCTGGCGCTATGTAAAAAGTTAATTTTTCTGTCATCTTTTCTATCGGATAAAAAATATTTTTGAAAAATTAGATTACATTTTTTTAAGTTATTTTTCAAAATAATTTAATATTTTTATTTTAATGAAACACATGCAAGATTGCAAGTTCTTTTCATACAATGCTCTCGCTACTGCCATCAAGAATGAGTTCAATGGTGCTTCAAACGTCAATGTTATCTTTAACAAGAAGTTTGTGAAAGAATCTAAGTTCGGTCAGTATGTCAGACCATTAGCTATTGTCATTGACCGCAAACGTTATACTTCACAAGAGTTAGCAGTAGTTTTGAAACAAAAGGGTTTCTTCGTGAATGTCAAAGATACTCATTATACTGTTATAAAGAACTCCAACATTGACTTCTTCAGTATTGCTTTAAATCTTTCCGAACAGAAAGAATATAAGAAGGGTGAAATAAATGTGAAATATTATCCTTCATCTCTGAAGACAATAACGAACAAAGATGTTATAAAAAGTTCTTACCAAAGGTTGAAGAAGCTTCTATTGACATTGACGAAGGAAGTGAAATGGTTGAAGAAATTGACCCTGAAGCTATTTAACCAAAAATATATTTTGGTGAAGAGGTGAGATTTCACCTGTTTTTTCACCTCATTCTCTCTTCGTTAATGTTGTCGTGACTTCTTCGTTAATGTTGTCGTGACTTCATTCTTCCTCTTTGAAGTTATCGAAATACTCTGTTATTTTTTCCTTTAACAATGGTAAGTCTTCTTTGAATGTAAGTATTGTGCAACCTTTGATGTCATAGTGTGTTTGAGGAAGAGTATTTTTGACAATTTCCTTTATTTGCTCATTCGGTGTCATTGAAATCGGTAAGTTTTCACGATAGAACCAGTTTCTGTCAGATTTGTAAATCTTAGCAAGGTCATAAAAGCTTTTTTGTTTCTTCTGACTAAATGCAACATAACCATATCTCTGTCTTCTTCATTTTCCATCTCTTCAGCGTAAATCATATACTTATAGTTCTTTTCCTTTCCTTTTGGTACTGAACGCGGTATTCTTTTCTGTATGCTTTTGTCTTTGGATTCAATGACTTCATCTTTTGCTTGAAGTTTCTTTTCCATCTCTCCACGTTCTTGTCTGTGAAGTTCGTCAAGAAGTTTGTAAATATTCCAAGCATAACGTGGTGAAGCCCACATTGCAACTGCATTTACTAAAAGTCTATGAACATAATATCCTCTCAAACCGTTTGGCAATTTTTCACGGTTTTCATAGAGTTTTGGCGACTGGGATTTTTTACCTACTCGCTGTTCTTCACTGTTTTCAGAAAAAAGTACGTCTCGCTGTGCTTCACTTAATAGTTCTATGGTGCTTTGGTTCCTAAACCAGTCTTTAGGAAGTTTAGTATCTGGAGCATAACATGCTGTCAAAATACTTTGCATTTGGTACATGTCATCTTTGACTGAACGAATGAGACGTAACTGTTTGTTATATTGTATGTACTCGTATTCTTCATTTATTGCTTCATGGACTATAACTGTTGTTGTGTTCTCTGATGTTGTCATTACTGTCTTTACATACAGGATAAAAAAATAAATAAAATAAAAACTAACTTTATTTTTTTTGAGATAAACACTATTTCTTCACAACATTAAATTTTATCCTGTATGAAATGACTTTAAAAAGATATTGACTGACTTCGAATACTATCTCATTGACGCACTGACAGACCCTCAAAACTGTGTTGAAAGTTCTTTAAGCTTTAAGATTGAAGGTACGACGCATTTTGTCTTCACTTACGTATTGAAAGAATATGACCGTTATCATAACGAAGTGAATCAAACACTAATAAAATTTGTAGATAAAAAATTGGTTAACAATGAATATTTTAAACGTGAAGACCCAAACACTGCTGGAGATGATGAAGAATACAGACAAGTTATTGAAAAAAATAACGCAAGATTAGATGCAATAGAAAAGAAGTTTAATGAATGTCTTACAAACACGTATGAATATCTTATGCGGTGGGAAGCTAGATGGAAATAAATTTACGTCAAATATGCAATTTATAAAATCTTATGTCGACAGGCTACGTAGCACAGTGGTCTAAGGTGGTGTTATGGAGGGGTCAGGGTCTGTGGTTCGAACCGCGACAGCGCCGTATTTTCTTATTTTCTTTGTTTGTCGTGAATAAAAAGTATCATAAAAGTGCTCTATCTTCCACGGGAATAAATAAAAAATTTACTTTATTTCTTCTTTATTTCTTTGTTCCCGTGGAAGAAGGGTTTTTGCCGTTTTTTCTCAGCCGAAATCAACGATTTTTTCATTTTTGGAATCCTTAGCAAATGAGGAATCTTTTCTCTCGTGGAAGCTTTGACCAAAAATATAATTTAGGTGAAGAGGTGAGATCTCACCTGTTTTTTCACCTGTTTTTTCACCTCTTGAACTTTTTATAACATTCGGTCATAACTTCATCAATTTCATTTAAATCACGATTTAAAAACTCATTGACTTCATCTTCAACCGTGTCATCTTGTAATAAGAATATTTTCTTTAGTTTCATGTCAACATCCCGAACAGCACAAAGGATAAAATCATATTCATTTCTTCCGTTAAACATACTTTTTCTTTCTCGTTCATCGTTAAATAAATTATTGAAAATATAAACAGCGGTGTAAAAGTTATGTACTGTGTTAAATGTTGAAGCTTCACCTATTTTAGATTTTAGGATTCTTTTAGTAAGTAAATTGTTATCGTTCTTTCTCTTTTCCTTATCGTTCATGTCGAATCTGTCGAACCACATATCCTGTATTTCATCGAATTTACGAACTATAGAATCCGTCATTTCCCTGGTTAATGAGGGGTAATCATTATTAATTTTTTCATATAATTTGTCCATATGATTTTCATCGACGTTTCCGGAAAGCATTTAATTAAAGCAAAAATAATGTTTAGGTGAAGAGGTGAGATCTCACCTCTTTTTTCACCTCTTTTTTCACCCCAGTTTTTCACAAGCGTTTTACATGAATTGTACGATGTATATTTGAAATCCTAAACAATTTCGTAGCTTCTATTTCTTCTGTCAGTATGTCAAAAGTTTTAACAATACCGAAGGTTTCTTTATACTTCTTCTTGACGTCAGATAGAAGGAAATCTTCTGCTGTTGGATAGTTTTTGTTCAGAAATTCTAACATGTTCATTTTATCTTCTGCTGGCTTTTCTGCTTCTTTCTTTAAGTCTGCATAGTCGTTTCTCATTCTTTCTATCTCTTTGACTGAGTAGTTATATTTCCTTATTCCTGCTTTACATTTTGAACATTGCGGGTTCATTTTTGCGTTATATTCTGAAACCTTACCTGCTAGAACAACTAAGGCGTCAATGGTTTTCTTCATCTCAAACATAGCGGGTCTTATTTGTTCGTTCCATACTTTGCCTCTTCTATCTTTATCTCTTATTTCCCAAACACATTTTGCAACTAATGAAACAAAGTTGTCGTAGGTCTTAAATTCTTCAGATTTATATATGTCAGAAACATTCTTATATACCATGTCGCAATCTTTGTCCATAACCTTATGGTTGCAATGAAAACCAAGGAATTCATAATTTACTTTACGTATGAACTTCTTTATTTCTACTGAATCAGTTGGTTTCACTTCAATTTCGTCGAATTCAGGAATAGTGAGTTTTTGTTGTTGGATTTCAGGCAATTTGGGTAAATGGTCAATAATGTCCTGCATTTCATAAAGATACTGTTCATTTGTTTCATCTTTCGCACTACAGTCTAAATTATTTGTTAAAAGTTCTTGCTTTATCTTCTGGATTTCTGTTTCGAAAGTATATGAAGAAGGAATGAAGCTTTTCATCTCTACTAACATAGATGTTGGATTCATAACTAAAGAGTTTGGTGAAGTTGTTGTGGACAGAGTCCCGCCGTTCGCGGCTTGAAGTGTTGTAGAACCTATTGTTGAAATCATATCTTTACATACAAAATAAAAAAAATAAAAATAAAACTAACTTTATTTTTTCTATCTTAAGGAAATTCACGAAAATTCAAGAGGTGAAAAAACAGGTGAGAAAACAGGTGAAATCTCACCTCTTCACCTATAATATATTTTTGTCTGATTTACATCCAACGAAAAAGTTTAGAAGAATTTTCTTATTCTTTCTGGCATGTTTTTATCTTTCCAGTACTCCCGCTCTAATGGTCCCAGATGTGTTGGCTTTGACTCTCTCAAGTTCTTAGATGGTATAACATCTTCAACGCCTCCTTCATATCTTACTTTATAAGTGTCATCGTTTGTGTTATAGCCAAGTATTTCAATAACCACTCCTCGCTTTGCTTCGTCAATGGTTTCAGCAAGTTTGCCATTACTACTTTCAACTAATTTCTGACGAGGATAAAACGCAATAGAGTCGTCAGCAGCTTTTATAAGATATCCATTACCTTGCGTAGAGTCTACGATATAATAATTTCGACTTAACCTTAAACGTTTCTTTGTCAACGGTTTGTCGTCAAGAACTACACGAACTTTTGTTCCAGGAATGAGAGTAAATTGTGTTGAATTTCTGATATTTTGTGTTTGACTTCGTTTCTTTTGTATATACTTTTCTTCTTGTT